GGGGAGGAAGGTGGCGGGGGGCTTCTCGTTGGGGACTGGTGTTCGCAAGTTGGCAACTGTCTCCCGTATCCTCATCTACTTTGCCTGTCGTCCCAGTCTGATAATCTTGCCTGCACTCGCACCTCCATCTGGTTTCTTATTTGCCGGGTTAGTAGATGAACTGCCGAAGTGATAATGGCTCCCTCGTCGGGTTTGAGTTTTAGTGCGGCTATGGGGTCGCACGCGTTCAGATTTACATTTGGCCGGTGTTTCCCTTTGTCCTTTTGTTCGTTGAGCTGCGCTTGAAGGAAACTGGTGGCTGTGGGAATCGTGACATAAGAGGTTGATGTTTGTTGTTCCCGTTTGCCGGGCCTTCATTGTTTCCCCGGCTACGCGGTCAATTCCTCCAGCTAAAATTGCGGTATCCTGGAAAATGAACGTGTGCCTGAGGCCAAGGACGGTGAGTCCATCCTCCTTAATGCCCCAATACGTTCCCCAACGCAGTTCTGCAATCCTTTCCGGGTCTCTGCATTGTAGTTGACTGCACAGAAATTACATTTAATCCGGCAGATGACATTTGCCGGTCGGTCGCTGGACTTCGGCTTGGTCGGATCTGCCTGTCGATTTCGATTAAATATCGAGCACATATTTTGGCCATGAAGAAGCGCTTGATGTATTGTAATTTCGACTTCCGGTCGTGTTGCTCGCTGCACTGTTTCTGCTCGTTTGTGCAGTATTTGCAAACAGCTGTGGTTGTAGCATAACTAGTGGGTACTGTGTACTTCAGGATTTGGCGGGTCTTAGTGGCCTTCTTATACACCGTCATTTTAAGGACGTCTACGAACGACAGTTGCTTTTTGCCATTGTGAACTGGACTTTCAGGTGGTCGTACGCCTTCTCGCAGCACTTGGAACTGGGGTTGCACACAGACCGAAGGCGATCATAAGGCGCCAGATAATGAAGCTAAATGATCCACTGCGGCGGTAAGAAACCTCACGAGTCTTCTATAGCATCTTGTGCATTTGCGGACAAAGCAAAGAAATCGGGATACTATTCAAGACGCGAATTGCCGAACGCGTGGCAGCAGTGCGGAGAAATAAGGCCAATTCTCAAGTTGCGGCTTATTCTACGAGACTGGGTTACAAATTCACATTTGAGGAGGCAGAGATTCTTGCGAGAGGTGAAAACTGTGTGAAACTCAGTTTGGCAAAAAGACTTCGTCATTCGGGATCGCATAGGCTATCAGGTCGTCTAAAGCCATCGCCAGAGAGCCAGATGGCTGCGCAATTAACAGACCCATGTCCAACACTGGTTATAAAAGATCAGAAGGTCACGACTCGCACGCCGACCATCAAGCAGTTAGCTCAAAGCTGGCAACCATCCCCAATAGGGAAAACCGTTACTTGTCATCGGTATGCTGCAAAATAGCAACCTTGCCCGTAAAGGTTTCGACTCCCTGCGTATGAATTACCCGTTTATATTATTGCCTCTGATGATGAACCCGAAACGGATTTCGAAACGTTAGGCAAATAAAATTCTTGTCCCAGTCATCACATCTACTACTTCTCAATTACCTTCTACGACTGGCCCATAAGCTTGTATTGGAAATGTGTTTTGGCGTGATGCACTCAGATCGGCCTGACGATGGCACACTTTTCCTCTTCGTAAGGTCTCAACCCATGCGCAGATTCGGTCTTTGCACACGGGGTTGTCGAGGCTCACCATCTCTCAAAATGGCAAAAAAATAATGTGTGCTCCTTCAAGATTGCAGAGCGAGGCTGCACAAATATCGTCGTATAATTGACCTAGAGAAAACCACATGACATGAGGTTGTAGTGAACCTGTAGCTCTTTCCGCCTTCATGCCACACCATGCAATAAGTCACGTGATTGTATTTCTCGGTCACCTCTGGGACAGCCAATCACAGCTGCTGCAAACTGAGGAAAAGATCAACCTCTCACACTGGACAGCAAGTGCGCACACAAAAACGCCTGCCTTCACTAATCCGATCTGGCCAATCACCTCTCTGAGGCTGATCCACAAAAAGAACACTCTGCTAGACGCTGTGATGATTGCCGAGCTGAAAGACTTCTGACACCAACCCCTCTCTGTCGGTCGTGCACGCCTACGGTCATCAGACAGTCAACTTCCTCCAACTTATGTTCAATTCCTCCTCTGGAGGAATCAACTACTCCCTCCACCTAGCATCTCATTTCTCCTTTTTCCTCACAGAACTGGGCTTGAAGATCGCAGCGAAGACAGCAAAATACTGCTTCAGTAAATAGTGATTGAAGGAGCCCGAGAAAATAAAAAATGATACGCGAAGCAGCACTCGAGAGCATGCGGTATAATCCAACTTCATCCAGAAATGACATATTGGTACACAATCTGTCTTGGAAAAAACTGACGAAGGAGCAAACACCGGTTCTACAGCACGAAGCCCCATTCAAAATGACTGATGGCAAATCTGCTAACGCCACTGCAGCTGTGGAGTCAGTCCTCAATCAGACAGAAGCGACGGAGGAGACGAAGAACATTATCAGACACCATGTACACGTCCACGCGGCAGCAGTGTGCAGAAATGACGCTAATTCTCAGCTTGCGGCTCATTCGACGAGACCCGACCACATATCCAGCTTTGATGACGCCGAACTTCCTGTGAGAGGTGACAATTTGATGAGTCGCGAATTATTTAAGTTCTGCAAAGATTCCCATGCTTAAGTTGAGAAGTCAAGTTTGCAAACATATATTTTCAGAAAATCTTCGTGAGGCCAAAACATTTGGAGGGGTAATGAAAACTGTACAGTTGGGCAGAAATTATAAGGGTAGTCTGATTACAATTAATCGTTTACACGCACGCCTGAGGACCGCAATCGCAAGTGCTTTCCCCACGACAAACTAACGGGTGTTCTTTAAAAACTCTCCCCTACTATGATTGGGAGGTAAAGACCGACTCCCATTGAAGGCCACATCCATGTGCATTTACTCTTTCACTTGCTGTTTTTGGGGTTCAGCATGTTATGAATTCTTCCCTTTCAGGTGGAATCCCCACTGATTACTCGACCATACATGTATATGATGACCAATTCAGAACTGCACGCCATTATAGTCAACGGTTTTGTCTCCAGTGCCGGGGCTGAGCTAGGCATATATTTGTTTCCGTGTAAGTGCTTCAATAAGCATTACGTCCTAAAGCTTCTTTTCTCTTGTCAATACTCCTTAGAAGGTGGTATCCTTATTCCTACAATTTCATCTTCTTAGTGAGTAAAATAGTCCATTGTCGCAAATCACTTAGAATGGCTGCTAGGAGAAAGCCAAAAACAATTTCAATTGACTAGAAATTCTTAGTTCTTTTATAAAGCAATGCACTTTCAGTTGCAATCCAGCTTCTTGTTCACATTTAGATGAGTACGGACATAAGTTTTGAATCCGATGTTCCGGAAAGTCTAGTCCGCCTCCTTTCTTCTGTGTCAAGGTACCTGCCAACCACTTGCTAATCGCCTGTGTGATGTCAGCTCCCGCGGCGTTGGCTGTTTCTAAAATTATTTATCCTGAAACCAGACGTGCGCCATTGGCTTCATTGAACAGAATAGAGTCTATTAAAAGGTGAGACTGGTCCACGTGGCAGACATAAAAAGAAAGGTTTATGTTAAGAAAATATCAACTTCCCTTATTTGTACAAGGCGAAGATCATGGGTTGAGCAGAATTTAATGTCGTTATAAATTTCATGACCTCTCATTAAGCTGCAGACGGTCGTTGCCTATTAATAAGAGAGTTAACCGTCCAACTAAGTGTCAGCCTCGAAGGGTGAAACTTGATAAGTAATTGGGAATAGAAACAATTAGTCATAGGTGTGGGCACACGGTGAGGGATAGAGGAGGGGGAGGTAATTGTCACAGCATGCCAGTTCATGTTAGTGCATGTTCATAAAAGCCTGTAGGACGT